GAATAGCTATAGTACACAAATCGCCATATTTTAGAACTGCTATTTAGGGTTTAGCCCGGGGTTATTTTAACCTGAAATTTTGAACTAAAAATTTGAATTTCAGAACAAAACTTAAATTCATGACACATTTGCCAATTACTAATAGCAGCCCTCTAGAATGGCCACCTGGTATTGTTTCTACCAAATCATTTGATTTGGTCTTATTAACCGCAAGGGAAACAAGCCTACACGCCTCTAAGTCCAGAGAATTAGCACAGATTAGGGGTGGTAAACGGGCTGGTCAGGTCGGACATGAGACGGGTCAAGACGAGTAACAAAAGCGGATAAATATCTAACCCAACACATATTTACAGATAAAAAAACGGGTTAACCGGCAGATAATATGAGTAACCATATTATCCACGGCATCTTGAATATGATCACTTTTGGGAGAACTCCTAGTTTTTCCAACTTGAACCCCCAATTTGAAACTTTACAAATGTAAAAGTTAAACTCATTAGTTATCCATTTTCTATATGGATAATATGATATATTACCATATTTGACCCATTTTTAAAAAGTTTATTATCCAACCCATTTTTTAATGGATAATATGAGTGAATAATTATTTTCTTTTAACCATTTTACGACCCCTATCACAAATGAAGCCATTTATCTACTCTAAAGTATACTAACATAGCATCAGTAAAGAAGATTACAATTAGCTGGCTTCTTGCAGCTTGCGCGAGATCTCAATGACATTCTATCATACGAAACAGAGATGTCTAAATGGTCCAAATTTCCATCCAAATTAACTGGATTGGTAATACTTGATGCAGATGTGAGAAAAGTTAATTGGCAGCGAAATATTCCATAGTAAGTTTTGAAGATAGGTTACTGATTTGCAGTTTACATAAAGAAAGACAGATCAACAGAAGTTCTGTAAAGAGCAACGTAGATACAAACTTAATCTGTAGCTCTTCATATCAGAAAACTGTCATAATCAGTTAAAAAAATTAAATAATTTCCTGGATTTTTACTGAAAAGTTAAATATCATCATGCCAAAACCAAGCTTTGACAGTCTAGCCATTTAATGTAAAACAAGCAGATCGGCAGATATTAAAGACCATGCAGCCACTTAGCCAACACACTGGTAAAAAGGTGGTACTAAAATCTGCAAATTTAAGCATTTGATAGCAATAGGATAAGCCAAAATCCACTTCGGGGAAAATAGAATGTTAATCAAACAAACACAAGGAACAAGTGCAAACACTAACAATATAGAATATCATCTAAAGCCAAAATGCTCATTCATCCTCCTGGCTGCGCAACCTAGCAAGCTTGTTTGTTATGACAACGTCAAGCTGGGCAGCTCGCTCAACAATCTCTTTCCTCTTCCTTGTGGAAACATTGTGTGCAATCTCCGCACAGTAAGTTCTGGGAAGGAAAAGAGCAATAAGTTGCTTGACAAGATAAAAGATAAATCAAAACATGTAAATATAGTAGAAAAAATGAAACAGTTGAGTGAGCATTTTACCTGTTATGCATCATTAAGACCTCAAGCTCACTTGCATTATGCACAACAAACTTCTTGAAACCATTGGGAAGATAGTGACGGGTTTTCTTGTCAGACCCGTACCCTATATTGGGCATCAAGACACATCCCTTGAACTTTCTCCTCACTCTAGAATCGATACCTTTGGGTCTGCGCCAGCTTTCCTGTTATAAAGGATTGAATTCAATTAGTACACTCTGCTCAGCTCAAACACAATTGAAGAAACACAAAAACACAAGTGTTTAGAAACACCACACAAGTTCAAAAGAGTTTGTTTAGAGACACCACGTGAATTCACAAGATTTCCTAGCAAAACACAATAGCTAACCATACAGAAATCAATCACACCGCATAATGCGGTCCGAAGCAACAGTTCAAACCCAACCTGGCTTTCATAGATATCTTCTAAAAAGCCCTGTACAGATAGCTACTAAAGGGAAGTTACATTTGAATACGGTTAATTACATGCTTCTACATGTCTTTACCAAGATGGTAACTGAATTCCAAACCAACTGACCAACACGATTCCGTACACAACAACCAAATGGCATGCATATAATTATAGTACTTAATCTTTCAATCTATATTAGCAGCATCACCTTGACTCAGAACAAAAGCAAAACGACTAAATGCAGGGAGAAGGTCATCAAATATCGCACTAAAATTAATGTAAATAGGCTTGAAGTAAACAAAAGTTTATTCATAGTCATAGCAAATCACAACATTATCACAAGACCTTTCTACAGTTTAGTCTATGCCCTCCAAATGAAATGTCAAAATACATTGCAAGTCTAGAGATTAGATACAATATTATCTCAAAGGAAATGCCATACTCATACATTGTTTGTCAACGTAGGTAGTATGAATTACTTTGAATTATCAACTATATCTATAAAATCCGAAAAACCCAGCAAAAATCGAACCAAATCAACAAAAGCTAAACCAATTAAACTTAATACCAACTCAAATTTTCTTTCCTTTTTTTCCTTTCAAGGGTCAATTAGATCTCCTTTATTTAAAAAAAAAAACAAATGTACTAATTAAACACAGTTAATTTGGGAAGCGAAAAGGGATAGCAATAATAATAACAGAAGGGTATGTGATACCTTGACAGTGATTCTGCGGTCACTCTGGGGTCTAATAAACCTCTTAACCCTCTTCTTCACGACCTTCTTGGTAAGCAGAGGCACCGCCATTGTTGTTCACTTGTTCTCCCTTACCTTCTGCAACAGAGATACATCGCATACGTTAGATGCAAAATTGAAAGGAAGGGAAAAAATGGAACGGAGAAGAGACTCACTGGAACTAGGGTTTCTGCAAAAGCGGCCCGCACCTTGCTCAGGGAGTTTATTATGGAGTAGTACGCTTATATATGTAGGGGTTGGGGCAATAACTAGGGTTTCGGAGGTGAAAGTCAAAAATAGCCTTTTATAATGGAGTGATTCATTATAATTAAAATAAAATGTTATTGAGAAGATTAACATTAAAATAAAATAATCTCGAATTTATAAAGTAACCATATATATAGTTACTGTAAAAATAAAGAAGTGAAAAAATAATTTATGGGGACGTTAAAATAAATTTTAGTTGTTAGCACTGTATAGGGTAAAATATGTTCATATTAAATGCTCGCATGATAAATCGACACGTGCAGACAAAGACAGAAGGCAATCAAGTCCGAAGGCAACGATCTCGTTTGTTCCGGAAAGGAATGGTGTTCATAAAGGCGGAATAAATATCTGTCATCCGTTGCAGAGAAAATGGCATTTACTGTCTATCGTTACGTACCCTTCAATGACTCTCATAATTGTCAGTTACGAATGGCTTGATCCCTGGAACTTGTTCCATGGGTACAATTATAAATAGATGGCTCAACACCCGTGTAAAAAACGACTTTTCTGACAAGCACATACTATACTCTGTTCAAAGTTCAGTAATATTTGATCTTCTTGCTTATTAATATTGTTACTACTGTATCCGGGAGCTCTACTCCCGGAACCAGGATTTCTGCTATTTTATCTCGATTTTAACGTTAAGTTTTACATTCTTGTTCAATTTATTTATTATTTTAGGATCAAATTGATTCACTTTTCTATAAATTATATATAAATTTAATTGTACCGTTTTACCGGTAAACAAGCACCTCAACCTTATTAACTTTAGCGGCATTTTGAACTAATCAAATATAAATTCTCAAGGTGATGTTGGCTTGAAGTTGAAATTTGTAGTCCTTTAGTTATTGGAGTATCAATATTAATTTCAATAACAGTAATATGCAAATACCCGCATTTTGCTCTGCACTAACAAAAAAGTGCACTCCCACTATTAAAGCCTGTTTGATCAAGCTTTTGGGAGGCCAAAAGTACTTTTTTACTCTAAAAAAGTAGTACTTTTTGAAAAATTTAAGTTGTTTGGCCAATACAGAGAAGTACTATTGGTCAGCAGCAGAAGCAGTTTTTCTGCTTTTGGGAAGAAGCAGAAAATTCTAGCATCTTCCAATAAGCAAAAGCAGAAGTGAAAATTAATTTATTCAAGAAAAAACTATCCTCATAAATTTATATTTTTCAAATTATCCCTTACCAATTTAAGTTTTTTCTTTTCATTTTTGTTTCTAGTTTTTATCATTCTTTTAAAATTAAAGATATCATATACATGAATCATATTGTAACTTTCTAAATTCTTTATTGACTTTTCTTGTTTTTGTTATAAAACAATAAAAGTAGAAGAACAGTATTGCAGAGAAAGAGAGAGAGAGAGGGAATTCTTATTGAATTTTTGGGGTGAATCACAATGGAATAGAACCCTCTATTTATAGGGAGATGTTGACTTAGCCACCAAGTAATAAACCCTAGAATCTCTCTAAATATAGACATTCACCATAAATAGAACTCTATTTATAACACTCCCCCTTGAATGTCTATTCAACAGATAATGTGCCTCGTTAAAACCTTAACTAAAATAAAACCCAGTAGGAAAAAAATTCTAGAGAAGGAAAAAGAGTACACATATCTAATAATACGCCTTTTGGTTGCCTCGTTAAAAACCTTGCAAGGAAAACCCAGTGGGACAAAACCTTGTAAGGAAAAAAGAGTACAACGCGTATTAACTCCCCCTGATGAGAGCATTAATTCACATCCTTAAGCATTTGCATTCCAATCTTGTGCACCATCTTCAAAAGATCTTTGGTAGATATTTGATAAACAATATCAACCATATTAACTTCTACGAATTTGTTTCGCCTTGAAATCATCATCCCTGATAGATGTATTGTCTTCATATGATCTTGTTGGAATCATCATTTCAATATCTTCACATAGAGGTGAAAACTCTTGCTATCATATTATCATGCATATAGTTATAGCAAGATACATTTGTGCACAAATTGCACTGAGGAAGTGGTACTTCAAGATCAAGAAATGTATATGCTTCAAGCAACTTAAATCCTTCATGGATTTTCATATAAGTTAAGTCGTATAAGCCATTTAAATAGACTTTAGATGCATATCAAGTTTTCATGCCATGCTAGACATATAAGATATCAAAAACTGATTGCACATACCATTGACTTTATACTTTCAAGTGTTTGAACTGCAGGTCCAAAACTACATGGCTTTCATATGAAACCAATTCTATTTGAATTGTTTCTTCAGACTTAAGATCCTCATATATATATTTAGCGTTATCATAGATGTCGTTGGCGAACATTTAATATCGGTTTCAACCTTCTTATTTTTCATAAAGACATAACATAGAGATCTCTTCATTCATATTTTCAGGTACCTGAATCTCTCTTGAGATTTTATGAAGTGTTATGTCATGTGACCTTCTAGATCACTTTTCTCCTTTATTATGATCATTTTGATCATTTGCTCATCTTCTTTATCAAGAAGTTTATTTGGAATCGATTTGTCTATATGCTTTAAGCGTACCATAGACTTTGTCCTTCTAGGACTTAATAGGAGCATTTGCAATGAATATAGTTACTTTGTTTGGGTCAGCAAATGCGTCTGGCATGCTTTGCAATATATTGCAAATGAATTATCATTTTATGAACTTCAAGTTCATATTATTTTATTCGGGGATCTAGATGTATAAATGATAATTCATTCCATGTAACTTTTCTCAACTGTTGTATCTTGTCTCCCCCTCATGTTAGAAAAACTAACTTGTTTTCTCAACTTTGAGAACCCATCTTTGTGCGTTATGGTGTTAATTAAAATATACACCGCACATCAATAATAATAAGATGGAATTATTTGGTTCCTGACCATGAACCACTTGTGAGGGGAGAAATTAATATACTTTCGTATATAACGTATATCAAACTGATATATAAAACTTTGTTCTCATAAGCAATTATTTAGCTATTAAGTGGAGGCACTCAATAAATTATTTTGCTAAACCAGCTGTGACCAACTTATCAAGATGAACTTCTTGAATAGAAAATCTGGAATATGCTCTAAATTAAATTATTGAGAAAGTTACCTCGCAAACACCATGTTGCGGGTTAATAATAATCGCACATGTAACCATCTCATAGATGCATCTTATGTGGTATACATGGCAGGTGAATGGGCCCATATTCACCTTTGATATTTCCAGCATTCATGGGATCCAATCCCAATTTTAGTTGATCTATTAATTAGTGAGAACAAGCAATATAAGAGAATCGTAAAGAACTTTCTAGTTCTTTAATATTTACCCACGTGAGTTCTCTATTATTTTTGCACATCATACTTAAATTGATATGGCTAAACCAATTATGCCAACTGAATAAATTATCAATATTGATAAACTTCAGATTTACGCCATGACGTGTGCAATTATCAATAAACTCCAAGTTTATTATGATATGGGTTTTATATCAATAAATACCCACTTCATTGTGGTATTCTTTTATTTATGTAGTACAAATAGGAGAATAAAGCGGCTAGCTTTTCACATACAAACTACCCCGCTACAAGTTGTAGTAATAGAAGATATTAAATCTTTTCTTTATTTATAGTCTCAATATAATCAATCGCTTTCGCGTATACTTTGGAAACCGAATAAGTTTCTTTGAGACTTACTACAACACAATACCTTATTGGTAATTAATTGTGTTTTTCCAAAATAGTATAATTGTCTCTTGCAGAGTTCTCAATTAATTTTGTAGTACCACATATTCATCAACACCCATATGGTGAATATCTCTTTTAAAGAGAAAGTTATACCATTATGGTTATGGTCAAAATTATATGCAAGATCTGTTTCTTGCATTACCGTTGACTTTTAATAATCAAAATGCCAAAATATTTTGGCGTACAATAGGTACGTGACCAATGACCATTCATGCCATAATAATGACATTATTTTCTTATATCATCTCAGACCTCCTTTTAGAGGTGAGTGCGGTATATTCACTACCACTAGCATGTTCATATTCTTTGAAGAATGAATATGTATTCATAAATCAGATGTTGTCACATTCACATCTTGAATGGACCATAATCATCTATATGTGATTTACAAAATCTCATGTCAAATTGATGACAAATATTTTTTACAGAGTGAAAGATTATTTTGAGAATCCTTATTGTTCTCATTACCACAAATGATGACGATTATAATTTCGTCTATTGCCACGTCCATATCCATTGATACATTCATAGTAATACTTTTGTCTTCTTTCAGACTTATCAGTTATCACATACTACTATCACATTCTCTTAAGGGAATGAGAATGGAGCAAATTCAATGGGACGGATTTTCAATTCTTTGCCCACAATCATACATGAATTTGATCATGGCGAGGCATAAAAATTTTACCACTTCAGGTGGTTATAATTTCTTACAAACTCCATTAGAGTTATAATCAAACTTTGTTGTCTTTGCTTGTATTTAAAATCAAAATATAGAATAAAAGAGAAAAATACGGTAAAATACTTACCTTAAATCCAAAATTTAATCATGAAGGAAGTTCATGGAATAATTGACAATCATTATGCTCAATCCCAAAGCTTCTACTCAATTGGTTAGAGTCTCGTGCTGATAACGTGTTATAAAACAATAAAAGTAGAAGAACAATATTGCAGAGAAAGAGAGAGAGAGGGAATTCTTATTGAATTTTGGGGTGAATCACAATGGAATAGAACCCTCTATTTATAGGGAGATGTTGACTTAGCCACCAAGTAATAAACCCTAGAATCTCTCTAAATATAGACATTCACAATAAATAGAACTCTATTTATAACAGTTTTTGATTTTTTTTTTTTTTTTTGTGTAATGCCTTGTAACTTTCCAAATTATCTTCTTCTTTTTTCACACTAAAGCAAATTATCTACATCCTTCTTTGGATTATCAGTTCTCTTCCTACAAATAATCATTTATAATTTCTTCTGTTATATGCTATTAGTT